AACGAGCGATGGAACGACATTAGCAGGGCATATGTGTCGGGTAATTGATACACTGACCACTTTACTGACTTCCCTGACGGAATGTAAAAACACAATTTCTAGCACCTTACCTTCTTGGTACATCTGTCATTCCACTTCTGTCTACTGGTACGGCGCAGAACGAAATGCAAAAGTCAATAGAAACCCCGTTATGAGCAACAAAATATGAGTACATTGCTGGAAGTGTATAATATCCCCCAAATGGTAGCTCTGTGACTCCTAGGGGCCCCAGACCCTTGGATACAGTAATACTGAAATCTGTGGAACTTAGGACATGGCAAAAAAAAAAAACAATGACCAATGGAAGCTCATTGACTGGGGTCCCAAAACTGTGAAATGATGACTCTTGGTGTTCCGTCACACACACTTAGGAACAGAGAACAATGATATAGTGACAGTTGGGCTTGTAAAACAGTGACGGAGATACTTAGGGGACCTAGAAGAGCGGCGCACTGTGGAACATTGTATCCCCAAACATAGATAAACTGACATTTGCGGAACGCACGATGGACACACTTGACATTTCGAGCCATGAAACAATGACGCATCGATGCTTGAGGACCCAAAACAATAATACACTGACATGCGCTGGCTGAGTACAATGACAGCTTGGCACTTGAGATCCAGAACAATAGGATGCTGTCACGATGGGCCTCAAAGCAATGCCATGCAGAACAAAGCACCGGCTTACAGGATAAGTCCACATTCTTATCCATGTTTCATGTTCCACCCATATATATAGGGTATAACATGAAGCATGGCTGCATAGAGACAATGTTTCGTCCCCCAACCACAGTCATATACATACATATACAGTCCAATCCTCGATCCCACCTGGCTGCTAGGCCAGTTCCCGCAGCCTATTCTCCCCAGGCTCCAGTGGTCTAAGGACCCGTGGCTTCATGACTGATGGATTCGTCAATTTTTTGTCCCTCCGTTAAAACCCCAATAAACACACGGACTGCGCAACATGGATTTTAACGGCCACAGCAGCCCTTTTATTAAACAAACAAATTTAACAATAACCAAAGTAATAAACCAAATATACAAAAATAATACTTTAAACAAGGGTTGACCTGGGAAGGGGTCTTTGGGTGCCCGCCAGCCCAAAAAAGGCCTCTCTTAACACTCCACCCATGTCCCCAGCCACAGCACCACCAGCTCGAGGACACTTACTCCTTCTGGGTTCCCAAGGGGCCAGGCCCCGCCCTTTACAAATCCAGACACCAACAGGGGGAAGCACCCATACCAGCTGAGGGCCCCCCATTTTTGTAATGAACTCCGATTTTGTAGACCCCCTAACCCGCCAAGCTGCCGTGACAAAAGAAAACCTTCCCATGCGGCTCCTCCCGGACACCTGACTCCCACGTCCAATCAGGTAAGAGCAGCTATTCCCATTTTATTTTTAACCCTTTCTCCCGGGACTATTCCTCTCCCCAGTCATGTAGCCCCTCCGCTTAGTCTCTCCGTGTCTGTCTTCACGTCTATGGCAGGTTCATTAGAACGTGAGGATGCTGAGGGACATACCACAGCCGGAGGGAGGGGAGCAGTCACTGCCACTGGGCTGAGGATCGGGTGAGTATATCTTCTCTACTCAGTCCCCTGGGAGAAAAACAAAAAGTTAACCCTTGCAGGGAGGGTTCTACCCTGTGCGCTACACAACACCTAACCCCTGTGTTCTGTAGATGAGGAGAGAGGGAGTAGTTACTGCCACAAGGCTGAGGATCGGGTGAGTATATCTTACTCAGTCCCCTTGAGAAAAACAAAGGGGTAACCCTTGCAGGGAGGGGGTATCTCCACTGCAAGGGTTCTCCCCTGTGAGCTACACAACACCTAACCCCTGTGTTCTGTAGATGAGGAGGGAGGTGAGCAGTCACTGCCACAGGACCGAGGTTCCATTGATTATATCTTCTTTACTCAGTCCCCTAGAGAAAAACAAAAAGTTAACCCTTGCAGGGAGGGGGTAGCCCCACTGCAAGGGTTACTTTTTCTAAAACCTGAACTTCTCCTTTAAGTGCAGCAAAGCCAGAGTGCACAGGAAGTTAGGAGCTTACTGAGTTGTTGGCAGGACCACTCATTCCTAATTCTCCCCTTTGGGCTACAGAACACCTCACCCCTACGTACTGTAGATGAGGAAAGAGGGAGTAGTTACTGCCCCAGGACTAGGGATCAAGTGAGTATTTCTTTTTTACTTGTTCCCCTAGAGAAATACAAAAAGTTAACCCTTGCAGGGAGGGGACATCTCCACTGCTAGGGTTCATTTTTCTAAAACCTGGAGTTCTTCTTTAAATCTCCTGAGCTGCAGAAAACCTCACCCCTATGTTCTGTAGATGAGGAGAGAGGGAGCGGTTCTGTATTCCAAATCAGGAGCAAGCAGCCCGGAGTGACAACTCCATAGATACAATTCAGTGAGTGTTGTCACTCTAGGACAGGAAGTGTGTCACTGGCAGGATCAGCTGGTGAAATGAATAGGAAATAAAAGAAAAGGAATGCAGCCAGCACATCTAAGGGCTGCTCAGCTGCAATATGTTACATTGTTGTTCTTGGGGTTAGATGCACTGTAACCTCCTGGCTGGTTTGGCACTGGAGCGATTGCAAGCTCTTATAAGCCAGACCCTCCTATCCCTATTGTCTTCCTTTGTATTGCAATTGTTGGCGCTATATAAATCCTGTATAATAATAATAATAAGGGGAGAGGGAATACAAAGCGGAGGGGAAAACCTCCGCAGTTGACACGTGATCCGTTTGCAGGCACCTGTCATCCAGCGCACATCGGGCAGACATTGTTGTGCTTGACACGGGGATGTTGTGAGAGAAGTGGGCCGTCCCGGTGATGTCAGTCCGGCTGTCATTCTCTGCAGCAGACGTGCCGTGCATGATAATGGAGCCAGAGGAGGAGGTGACATCAGCTGCACTGCACCAAACTGCAGCACGAGCACAACAAAAGCCTCCTCTCCCAATCTTCTGCTCCGCTCTCTTTGTTGTGGCTCTCTGCCCAGCGTTCGTTCGCTCGCTCGTACAACGAGGGGGGCGCCGAGTCCCATCCAAGTTTTGGCGACCTGCACCTCGTCTTTTTTTTGTTTGTGGTTTTGTGGAGTCGCCCTTTTCAACGTCTTAGTTGCGGGTTGTAACGTGAAAGCTTTGTGTTTAAAGGAGATCTAAACCCAATCGCCGAAATCTCATGTACGCTGTTAGGGCTCATTCGCACCGGATCCGCCGCATTGCGACAATTTTTCAAGTGATGCCAACGGAAGGGCGCCGAAAAATGAATGAGTGTGAATGGGGCCGTTGTGTTCCATCGGATTCAGTTGTATTACGTTACGTTGTGCTGAAGATAAAAAAATTAGAGCGTGCGCTATTTTTTTTCATCGCAACATAACGCATCGGATCCGGTGTGAACTAGCCCCATTCATTTTTCGGTGCCCTTCGGTTAGCAAATGTTGAAAAACAGATTGTAACACAACGAATCGGAAGGAAATCGGAAGGTACAGTCACAAGTAGACTATATGCAATTTGTTTTGTGAATTTAAATTACATCGGCATATTCGGACATTTGGATGCATCCATATTTCTGAATGAAAGAAATAATAAACATGTAAGCTGCAGAAAAATTTGGATCAGTTTGGATATTTCGTTATTTCAGGATTCAGATCCGAAATTCAATCTGGTTCGGGTTTTGGATTGGAACGAAATCCGAATTTTCATTAGTTTCGGATGAGTTTTTACGAATATTCGTTGTGAATACGACAGAAAACCAGATACAGATATTAATACTAAAGCTGAATCTCCCAGACCCGAATGGCATTCGGGATCCGGATTTCCAAATTGTATCTGGGAGCTCCCGAATGCCATTCTTGTCTGGGAGCCATATACATGGCTGGGAAGCCGGTTTTCCAGCCTATCAGCATCGAGACGGCCAAACAGCAGGCTCCATACTGATTGGCCGGAAGCCAGCTTCCTAGCCAATCAACATCGAGCCAGCTGAACAGCTGGCTCAATGCAGCATGGCTGGGAAGTTTGCTTTCCAGCCAATCAGCATGGAGCCGGCTTCCCGGCCAAACAGGAAGCCGGAGGCGCGTCATTACTCGCTGCCCAGCTTCCTAATTGCCCAGGGAAGCCGGCTCCATGCTGATTGGCTGGGAAGTCGGTTTCCTGGCCAATCAGCATCGAGCCAGCCAAACATGGAGCTGGCTTCCTGATTGCCCGTTGAAGCCAGCTCCATGCCAGCGGAAGCACCGGTATCGGTACTCTGTATTGGCGCGTGCTGACAGCAAAATATCAGTACTTGTACCCAGGGGCGTAACTAGAAATCACAGTGCCCCATAGCAAAATTTTGTATGGGGGCCCTGTGATTTCTAGTTAAAAAAAAAACTGTATCTGTGCATCCCTAATATACTGTATATACGCATATATATTCCAATGGTTGTATCCTCATGACTTTATATCTTTACACAAGTTGTTATACCCTCATTTTAACTGAGCCAATTCAGAAGTGTATATCTGTTTTGGTAGCCCTGAAGGAGGAGGGATTTGAGCCCCTGAAACGCGTTGGCTCTTCTGTGTTATCATTCCATTAAATGTTTTTGGATTCTCACGTTTGGCACCCTCATTGGACTGTATACACAGTTGTCAGTTATATCTCTTGGGGGAGGGG